TCCCAAAAAAAAAAAAAAAAAAAAAAAAAAGAGAGAGAGATTTGGTGACTGGGCATACAAAAGATTACACTCCTTCCAATTCTTGTAAGGAATTATTATACAAGCCTCCACATGTATTATTCATATCCTTCTTTTACAATAGATTGTTAATTCTCAATTAATGTAGAAAAATTCATCCCGAATGAGTTAATTATTACATAATGAATTTTTAAGCAAGAAATATTAAATAAATTATTTCTGATTTTCAAAAGTATGCTACTCGTGTAAATGCCTCCTATCCTTGGAATTATGTTAAGAGTTCAAGATTCTGTGAAATTAATTAATTGTTTGTTTTAACAACGTACAAAATAAATTGCTTAAAAAGTGAGAAAATTTGAAAATAACAGTTAAAATGTGAATAAAATGTTTCATTAAAACTTTATTATGCCTGACCGAACAAAATTATAGTTTAAAACTTAGAGATAGGGCTTCCCTGGTGGCGCAGTGGTTGAGAGTCCGCCTGCCAATGCAGGGGACACGGGTTCGTGCCCCGGTCCGGGAAGATCCCACATGCCGCGGAGTGGCTGGGCCCGTGAACCATGGCCGCTGAGCCTGCACGTCTGGAGCCTGTGCTCCGCAACGGGAGAAGCCACAACAGTAAGTGTTTTTTTGTACCACAAAAAAACAAAAAAACAAAAAAACAAAAAAAAAACTTAGAGATAAAATTTCAGGTACACAAAAACTTAGATGATTTTTGTTTTACTATTTTTGTTCCCTAAAATTTGAGATTGTGAGTCTCCTGTGGAATCGCTTCACACTCATGTGACTTCACATAGCTCTGAAACACTTATCCCCAACATCTAAGATGAGAGGGGGCTCAAACACGTGGTGTAACCCAACCTCCCAAATTTTCGAAAGCATCAATTTGAAGAGCATTTACTCACAAGGAGAATTTTCTTTCCTCCAAAGAGTGAGCACAGCGCTGAGGCTAAGGCCATGCCTCTGCCTTCTGGTAACCATCCACCTCCACCATCAGGAAAGCCCAGGCACTCCCCAAACCCTGCCTCTGAAACTGGCATCCTTATCACTCACCATGGACTCTCTAGAATTTGTTAAGACCTTAGGCCAGTTCAGGGCAGTCATGATGGAAGCTCAGACTTCCAGGTCTCCACCAATCACCCATGAATAATCGCCTTAACGCTTCATATACCTCTATTTTGGACCTTGCTTTCTCCATCTCTCTACAATCTCTGAAAACGTGTACCTTCTAGAATTCAAGGGCGTTGTCAGCAAAAGCCCCGTATCCTAATCCTATTCCCTGAATGCCCCCCTCTCCTTTCACTCTAGTGATAACCTGGCTTTGCACTTCAGATGCTGTTTCCCCTGAGCTCTCCTAACCCTGGCTGCTCTTCTTTCCAAGATCTTGTGTCTCCCTGGACCAGGAGGTGAGGTAGGGGTTTCCTAGCTTCTCATGAAGACTCTCATAAAACTCAGTCTCCTAAGTCCTCTGAAATATCACCATCATCATCATCATCATCATCATTATTTCACCAACTACTTTTATTGTTGCTATCACCTCTTTAACTCTTGGGTCACGGCCTTTCATTTCTGGATAATTCTAGCACCAGACTTACTGTCCATTTCTCGAAAGTTACTTCTGCTTTACTTCTTGGTTATTTCCATCTCTGTGTAGATGGTCTTTCCTGCACTCTGACCTCTCACATCTTTGAACTCGTCTCCTCTATCAACCTTGCCCTCCGTCTCACTTCCAAGTCCATGTCTCAGAATTAGCTGTTGCCTGTAACCTGCAAAGCATTGCCTAATTGCCTCCCAGCCACCTACTTCCCAGCTAACTTCCACTTGATTCCTGCTCCTAACAAGCCTTCTACCCCAACAAGACGTCTCACTCATTAATCCTACCGTCTTTCCATCATTCTTCATCCCCATGAAGGCGAAGATTCTAGTTTCAATTTCAAGTCAAGCTCTTGGCAGAAATCTTCAGGCCCCACCTGTATCATTGAAACTGAAGGTGGGGAGGGAGCCATGGAATCAGTCTGCCTGATCTCACTTTAAAAGTAATGGCCATGGACCTATATGGTCTTTTAATGCTACTTAGAAATTACATTATATGTTTTGATTTTATTTGTTCTCGTCCTTCTTCACAGTTGTTCAGATCTACTCGACTTTTTTCAAAGCTCAGTACCTTCTCACCCGTGTTCATTCTCAGCTGGTGACCTTGCTTCTTTCTTCATTGAGAAAATCAAAGCAATATGAAAGAAATCCCATAGCTTCTCACCACCATGTCTAACTATCTACCAACATCTGGCTGCACACATTCCCTACGTGCCTCCAAAGGTAGATGGGATATTCCTGTTTCTTTCTAAAGATTATTTCTCCACTACATGTTAAACCTGAATCCTTTCTTAGATTCATTGTTCCAGCAATTTCATCTCTTTTTCCCACATCTTCAAATTTTGTTTCTATTGAATCATTCTTATCAGTATAAAAATATGCTACTTATTTAGTTTTCTTCTTTTTTTTTTTTTGGTACGCAGGCCTCTCACTGTTGTGGCCCCTCCCGTTGCGGAGCACAGGCTCTGGATGCGCAGGCTCAGCGGCCATGGCTCACGGGCCCAGCCGCTCCGTGGCATGTGGGATCTTCCCGGACCAGGACACGAACCCGTGTCCCCTTAATCGGCAGGCAGACTCTTAACCACTGTGCCACCAGGGAAGCCCTAGTTTTCTTCTTTATAAACAAAATATACCAAAATTTTTTCTTAATCCCATTCCTTGTCAGCTGTCGCTCTTTCACTGCTCCCCTTGCAGCAAATATTTTTAAAAAGTGTTCTATATTCTCTTTTTCCAATTTCCTTTCTCCTAGATTCTTTAAACCCACCACTCAACAAAACTATTCTTACCAAGATCGTCAATAATATTAAAGCAGCTAAAATTAATGGCCAGTTCTTAGTTCCAATTTATTTGGCCTAAAGACAGAAACAGGCACAGCTGATCACTTCTTCCTCTTGGATGTACTGTCTTCTCTGGGCTGCCAGAATATGACACTTTCTTGGGGTTTTTTTCCCTTGATTTCTCTTCCTCAGTTTCTGTAATGGTTTCTTCTTTTGTACTTAATATTATAGTGCCCCAGAGCTTAGTTTTAATATCTCTTTTCTCTCTGTGTATGCTCCTTCCGTATTTCATCCAGTTCATGTGTTACAAATACTCTATGCTAGTGTCTCAAAATTACACCTCTGCCTGGTGTATGTGAGTTTGCAGAGAACGTAACCTCCTCTGCAAACTCATATATCCAACCCAATGCTTGACATATACACAGAGATATCTCAAACTCTGTGTGACCCCAACTAAATTCCACATCTCTTAATTTTTCACCCCAGGCTTTCACAGTTCAGTTGTTGGCGACTCAGTTCTTATCATTGTTTGCCTAACTTGTTAGAGCCATCTTTGATCCCCTTTTCTACTATGCGACCTTCAACCCATCAAAGGAGAACTTTTGAAAGATGTACAGAACAATTTTCAGAATTGATATAGAATCTGAGCAATCTCAGCTGTATGGTTTGCGACCTGCTGACATGAGCCACTCTCACCTATTGTCCAGATCCACTGTAATCACCTCCTCGCTGCCGCTCTTCTTATGCCCACTGTCTATTCCTCACTGAGAACCAAGTGAGCCTTTCAAAGCAGGACTCTGGTCATGTCACTTCTCTGCTCGAAACTCTCCTAGGCCTCCCCCTTTAATTCAGGGGTAAACTTAAACCCTTTGCAAAGCCTATTCAATCCTCCATAGTCTAGCCCCAAACTTCTCTGATCTCTTTCCTTCTCAGAAGCCCTTCGTTCTCTTTGGCCACACCCACACCAGCTTTCTGGTCATTCCCCAAACACAAGGCTATTCTGCCCTTTAGGTGGGTTGCACTGGCTTGTTCCTCCGCCTGAAACCACCTTTGCCTAGATATCCTCACCTTCCATAGTTTGGTCAAATGTCACTTTCTGAATGAGCGCCCCCTAAGCATTCTAGATAATAAAATAACCTTTGCCTCCTCTCCCTTGGTTTTCCTGGGCCTCCTTACCCAACTCTACCTGATCATTATTCCACACACGTATCATGAAACAACACACTATATAACCTATATAGTTATAGTTTATTAGTCCTATTTTTAATTGATCGATGTCTCTCTGCTAGAATATTACTTCAAAAGGTAGGAATTTTTGCCCATTTTATTCACTGATAAAGCCCAAGATCTGAAAAGTGCCTTTTGCCTTATAGTGCTCAGTAAATACTTTGAATTCATATATCACACATCATGAGTTGAGACAAAATTTAACATATTGAACTGTAGTGAAGAGAAAATGCCAATCTTAGTGTGCTTCCTTTTAGCAACGTAAGTATCCATGAGGGACTAGAAGAGGGTTCTGTTTCTCATCACAGAAAAAGATATAATAATTCACTCTGATAGTATAGCCATGGCTAAAAAGCACCATATAATTTACATGTCCAGAAGGTACTCTCTTTTCAATTAAATTAATAAGAGTTAATTTTATACTAGTAAAAAAGAATGAGAACTCAACTATTATGACACTGAATTGTCACAGAACCTCATCCTCACTGTCATGAATTTTTCAAGATTCTCCTCAGCTTAAGCAAACTGTTGCATAATAATTGCCTGCATATTGCTTTACCTAAGATCTTCAATCCAGTCCCATTTCATGACATGTTAAGATGTCATAGACATGGATGTCAGAATTTTACATTTTTGTTATCTACGTTTAAAAAAAACCAAGCTAACAAACGTATAATCAGATCAGAAAGCCCTTTCCAAAGCCATTGCTTTATTTTGCAAGGAAAAAAAATCTCCAGAAGACTTATTAAATTTGGAGGCCTAATTCATTTGGAAATGCTATTTATTATTTCAAGGAAGTGATTTGCATCTCCCTAGATTGTAAACCCTTGGAAGTTGGAGCCACACTTAAGAGATCCTGCCTCCCTGCCAAGGGTTCTTACTGCAGTGGTGTGTGCCCAGTGGGCACAAGGAAAAGTGTTGATGATGGTAACGTCATAAAGTAAAATTACATTGTCTTCAAGACATTATCTACAGTAACTGCACATTCTATTCTTATTAGTGCATTATATCTTGAAAAAGGATTTGTCTCAATAAGCCTGTAGCACTAATTTACTTGAATTGATTATATATATCACAGTTTAAATGGCTTTCATCTGACCCATTTTGTCTATTTATTTTTTTAACATCTTTATTGGAGTATAATTGTTTTACAATGTTGTGTTAGTTTCTGACCCATTTTTAAGTTCATTGCTTTATAATTTCTTTATGAGACAGGATAAA